TCATGTTTAAGCCACCCACAGTTAATTTTTTATTTATAAAATTGCGCCCTTCACCTCCAATTCCCCTTAGAGCACGAAACAGGCCATTTAACAAAATCCCAGGTGAGATGGCAGGAGCACCAGCGGGCGGGCAGACCTCGTACAGCCACCCCAAGCCCCCCAACATGGCCCTGCCCCTCCCCCAGGGGGCAGGGCCACCACCTAGGTGGGCAGGGGGCCCCCAAGGCCCTTCCTGGCACTGCCAAAGAAAATCTGCCTTGACTGTCCCCAAGAGCCAGCACTCACACTCGGGGAAACGCAGACGGAGCAAAGCCCAGCATGTGCGCTGGCCCTCTGGGTGCCCGGACTGACTGAGTGTGTCCCCCAGATGCCCAGGCCGACATCCTAACCCCCACTGTGATGGTGTTGGGGGGCCTTAGCTGAGGTGGTGAGGGCGGCGTCTGTGATGGGATTAAGGTCCTTGGAGGAGGAGACACGAGAGCTCACTCTGTGCCTGCCCTATGAGGTCAGTGGGAAGACAGGAAGCGGGCTCTTCCCGGGACGCCCGTCTGCCGGCACCCTGACCTTGGGCCTCCTGCCTCTGGCCCCGTTCAAGCCACCCAGGCTGGGGCACTTTGTTACGGCAGCCCAGCAGATGAGGACCCTGTGTCTGCGCAGGAAGACTCCCTCTCCCTGCTCCAGACACCCGAGCCTCCTCCTGCAAAAATGGGTCTGTGGTCTCCGGCCATGTGCCTACCCCTTCAGCGTCTGCCAGCATTGCCCTCCTGGACCTCACTGCAAGGAGAGGCTGCTTCCCCTTCGCCCTAGAGCCGTGCACTGTAGCTGACTCGTTTATTCTTGCGGGAGGCTCAGAGCAGGATGCACGTGTGACGACGGCTTCTTCTCTCCCCCGGACATCACGGTCAATAACGCCTGCCTCGTGGGACTGCCGTGGGGTTTGCCACGCACCCTCAGTGTCTGGCACATCAGAGTTGCTCAGTAAATCAGAGCCAAGACGGTGACGAGAGAGGCCCCTCAGCAAACACAAGTCACAACCCGCCACGAATACTTGTTCTGCTTTGTCCAGCTCTCTCCATTCCTGCCCACGGCGGGGTGAGTCTGTGTCCACCTGGGGTGCCACGGCGGCAGCTAGCAGGGAGCCGTCATGAGGGAAGGGTCTGTGCTACAAACTTAGGAGAGGTTTTCTGGCCAATTGTTTGGCATTATCCACACTAAAAACTGGTCTTACTCGTGGACATGTGTTCTTGGCATGATGAAGGCCAGACAGGTGGGCAGCAGTTTAATCTCTGGAGGACAGAACGTTTTATGGACAGAAGGAAGCAGGGTCACCGGGGTCCCCTGGGTCATCTGGATGGAGCTGAGTCGAGAGAGGAAGGAGCAAGTGCTCTTGAGGAGGAGATTTGCAAAGGAGAGCCCACGCGGGGTCAGCATGCAGGGGCCTAGACCGAGGCCACGGGTTCGGCCGCGTGCTGGGAGCTGGTGGGCGCAGGTGTAAAGCAGAAGCAAGCAGGCAGGGAGATGGGGAGATGGTCTCCATGGCGGGGGGGTGGTGAGTCACATCTACAACGGGGATCCCCAGGAGCAAAGAGCACTTTAGAAGGACCCGATCCTTTCTTCGACAGTAGTGCAGTTCAGGTCCCTGGAGGCAAACGCTCACTGTCTGGTTCCTTCATTCATTCAGCCAACATGCACTGCCTCCTCTGTGGGGCAGCCGCGTGCCGGGCTCTGCACGTAGGGTGTGAGGTCAAGTGTGGGAGGCGGCCGAGCTGGACCAAGGGAGTTCCCACCCCTGCAGGTGGAGAGCAGCCCCACTCTGCATGAGTCCACGCCCACCAGGGCCCCCCAAGCTGAGTCACCGCCCTCTCGTGGCTCCACAGACTTTGCATGGAGGCTGTTGCGATGGGGGTGGGCTGGGTGAAGACCCTCTGAGCTCAGTCGTTGCGCCTTGCTCTGTTTGGACTTCGCCGAAGGCTCTTTCCACAAGCGCACTTGGGGAAGTCAGCACCCCTGGCCTAATGAGCTGTGTCCCTCTAGAAACCTGATCAGCCAGGCAAAAATCACCATAATTGATTATCCTGCTGAGCAGCGGAGAGCAGTGTTTGCTAACAGTGAGGCTGAGAATCGGCTCCATATTTCCCAACCCACGAGCTTGTCCTGGGGTGTCATCAGCAGGGCCCCAGGCGCCTCGCTCCCTCTCCCTCCCTCGCCCCGAGCGCAGGTGGTGGGGCGGGGTCAGCGACATGGTGGAGTAGAAGACAGTGGGATGCCAATGTTCATACCAGAAATGCAAGGCAGGCCCCACCTGGGGCAGCCTGTCCTTGTCTGGCTCACACCTGGAGGGTGGCCGGGCCACAGCAGGAGTGGGTCCAAACGGGAGCTGCTTCTCTTCCACAAAATGAGGTGTGGGCGAGAGCCCCATTACCCCCGGGGATTCCATACCCCGACAGAGGACAAGGAGGGGCCAGGGGAACTCTTGGCCTGAAGTGCTGGGAAAACAGGCTGGACCCTCGTGGGCCACGAATGGTGGAGGCATTAGGCTCAGCAGGCCTTCCAGATATCCCTCTGGTTCTGGATTTTTGGAAACACAGAGGCTCTTTGGAGATGGACACGGGTCCCAGCCTCTGAGTCTCTGGACAGGGACCAAGCAGGTGTAACACTGGTATTCATACCAGATATTTTCGCTCTGCCCAAATGAGGACGCTGGTGACAATGGGGGACATTTTGGGGAACTCCAAGGCTGTTAGGGGTGGCTGGAGATCAGGACAGGCGGGTAGGGATGGGGATGCCTTACCAGCTCTGACCTGCGCTGATGTTGCCTGGCTGGGAATTCCAGAGCGTCCCCGGCACTTGCAGGAGATTTGCAGCTTGGGCACAGAGCCTGGAGAACAGAGGATGCGGAGGAAGACGTGGGAGCGGGAGGGAGGGGCGCAGGGCAGGGCCGGAGCAGCGCTCTACCCCAAACCCCCAGGCTAGCCCTGATAGAGCCTCCCGCAGGGCCGAGGAGCGGACTCGTCTCACCCAGCTCCCGAGCTGTGCACTCTGGGCTGTTTGCTCACCAGGGCTGGATGGATTGAATTAAATGGAACTAAATTGAATTGAATTGGGAGGAAAACTGACTTTAAGAAACCAAGAAAAAAGTCAACAATAAGAAAACCCCCAAATCAACTGAAAGCGGCGGTTGATGCGAGTTGATTGATTCAATCCATCTCATTGTGTGACGGCGCCTTCCTCATCTGGCGGGGCCTTCCCCTCCCATCTGCCCCTCCTCACAGTCGCTCTGTGAGCCGCCCGTGGAAACGTGCCAGAAGTTGTTCTTGCCTTTTTGCTGGAGAGGGAAACTGCCGATCAACAAACAGGCTGCGGCAGGCCACCTCAATGAGGGCCTCCCCACTGCGTCATAAAAGATCGCCCCGCGCCGTGGCCCACAGCCCGCTCTGCTGCAGCCCAGGGGGTGAGGGGGGTGCAGGGCGGGCCGGGGAGGGGAGATTGGGAAATGCAGCCACTGTGATTCGCACAAACTCCGACAGCATGCAGGGCAGGCTCTACGCAGTTAAATGCTCCTTTCCTGCGGAGAAGGGTGCTGTCCACCAGGGGGTGACGGGGGGGGGGGGGGGGACCTGCCAGGGAGCCAGGTGTCCCCACAACTGGGGGCACCACTGCTTAGCCAAATCTGTGCGTATTCTCATCTGAAAAAGGGGGACAGAAGTTGGCGCACGCTCCTTAGGGTTACAAGGGCCGAATGAGGCAATAGTTGTCAAGGGCCTGGTGCATAGAACGTGCAAAGCACATGACAGGGGCAACCTGCTCTTTGTGGCGATGTTGATGGTGGTAATGACCGTGCTGTTAATCCATCTCAAGAAAGAGGCCCACTCTGATTGCCTTTGGATTCCAGAGGCTTTTCGCTTGCTTTTATCCTGTTTATGATAAGTTTAAAACACATGCACACAGTGGGGAGAGGGGAAGAGGGAGGGGCTGCTTAATGAGTGTGCAGTTTTCTTTTGGGGTGATGGAAAGTTCTAGAACCAGACGGTGGTTGCACAGCAATGTGACTGGACTTAATGCCACTGAATTGTACACTTGACAATGGTTCAAATGGTAAATTTTGCCACAATTAAAAAAGATGTGCGCAATATGTGCACATAAAATTATGAAACATTAGGGGCGCCCGGCTGGCTCAGTCGGTGGAGCATGTTACTGACTCTTGATCTCGGGGTTGTGAGTTCAAGCCCCACGTTTGGTGTAGAGATTACTTAAAAATAAAAATCTTAAAAAAAAATTCTGAAACGTTATTAACATAAATAAGGAACATTTAAGTCCAGAAAAAAGCACATGACGCACACGTGCCCACACGCACACACCCCTTGTTTCTAGTCTCTGAAGGGCCCTCGGAGGAAGGGGCAGGAAATCATGTGTTTGTCGGATTAGGATTCTCTTACTTCTCTTTAAGCAAGAGTAGCCCGTCTGCTTTTCTTCATGTTAAGCTTTGACTAATATTAAAATCGATCTACATGCCATGACCCCATACAGAGTGACCCTTGGGAGGCGGGCATAAATCCATGCCGACTGACGGGGCAGGGCCCAGGTTGGGATTAAATGCCGCCATTCATAGTCTGCAAAGTCTCCATGTGTGGGTAACCTCAGAACCAGGTGGGGTGGGGAAGAAGAAGAAGAAAGGGGTCACTCTGAGTTTGGGGCCAACGGGAGAGAGAGAGAAAACAGAATATCCCAATGACAGAGACGATGCATTAGGAAAATCTGGACCGCAGGCCCACGGTGTCCTGTTTTCCTTTGTCTTTGTTAAACGGAACGTGGGCTCCCAGCCACGCTCCAGGTGCAGACGGGGACGGGCTTCTCCGGGCCAGTCTCCTTGGCTCCGGGGGAGGCAACGCTCCCTGCTCCTCCAGACTTGACTAGTCAGTGAGCAAATAGCAGCCAGCAACCAGATGCGCGGTGGCAACATTGATTGTAATTCTCTCTCCTCTCTCTTCTTCTTTTCTTAGAGAGCCCACAGTGCCTCGGGAAAAATTGGCTGAATAAAAGGTATAAAGACTTTCTCTTTTTTTTTTCCTGAATAGTTTTTGACAGATGTGAGCATGTTGAACATATTGGGAGCTGCTGACGATGAATGCCGGGGGTTTCTGGGGCTTCCTGCTCGCTGTGGGGGCGGGGGGCGGCTTGGGGGCAGAGGATGGAGGGTTTGGCTTGTTTAGCACCTCGTCGTCGATGACATCTCTCTTGTCCCCCAAAGCACCAGCCCCAGCTGTGCGGGGAAGGCAGGACTGGGGGCCAGAGGAGCCAGGAGGGAAAGGAGAGCACAGGAATGCGTTCATGAGCAACGTTGCTTAACAACTCCCACCAGCCAGAGAAGCAGCCCCTCCCCACCCGCCCCCCGCGCCCCCCACTCGGCCCGCAGCTGCATGTCTCTCGGACTGTGAGGCCTTCAGAACCCGGTGTCCGTGTCCCCGCCTGGCCTGGTCTCCTCGGGGGTAGGCTGTGGAATGGGCTCAGTTTCCCAGTGGTCACCCTCATGGGGGCGCACTGGACCCTCCTGACCCCAGCCCTCGGTCCACGTGCTCCTCGCAGCCAAGCCTTCATCACCCGCCTGCCGCCGATCCCCTCTGCAAATTCACTTGCAAATTTTACTTTGGGGGAAAATTTTGTCATAGAAGTAATGTATGTTTGTTGTGAACAAATGAGAAAATGCAGGTTTGCCATGTATTTTTAACCCTGGGCCCCCAGCCGGCTTCCGCTCCCGGGCTCCTGGCTCTCAGGCCTTGTGCACAAGGACAGCCAAGAGTTGTCCACAGATCAGAAGCGCAATGTGAAGCTGTCAGGCGGCAGAGTCTGATGTCCTCCTGAGCCAAACACTGGAGATTTCTTTTGGTGACCTCTTTTGTATTGTTTTTGCCCCAGGCACACCCGTGCCTCAAAAGTGGGCATTGCCCAAACGGCTAGGGAGCTCTGTCCAGGAAGTCGGTCACCGCGGGGCCACATGGGTTCGGGGAGGGGGCAGCTCAAGCTCCACTCACTGGTGGGATGGGGACAGCGAAGCAGAGCTCAGGTCTCCTCTTCCTGTGCATGACAGGGTGCCCTGGGAGTGGCTGTCCTGTCTGTCATTGTTCAATTCAGTTCTAAGTGGGAGGAGATGAAGAGAGGGTGTACCGCATCAGCCTCACGTTCATCAAAACGGTCTGCCCTTGCAAGGCAGCCTCCTTGATATGTGCCATTTTGTAAACAGAGTCTAATTTTCCGGGGAAGCGACCAAAGGAGGCCTCGGGTGAATCTGTTTGTAGGTTAAGGCCTCCACCCTCTAAGGGATGATGTGATTTGTCTGGCTTGCAAGCTCAGATTCTTGCACGTTTGTTTTTTAAACGGCTTTACCGAGGTATGCACATACAATCAACTATGCGTATTATAGAGTGTGCAATTTGATAAGTTTTGACACGTTTATGCCCATGACGTCATTGTTACAGTCCAGATGCTGGACGTATCCATCACCCCCAGAAGTTTCCTTGGGCCCTTCGTCTCTTCCTCTGTGCCCTCCAGGCCCCCTTCCAGGCAAATGCTGATTTGCATCCTGTCGCTCTAGAATGGTTTGTATTCCCTGGAGTTCTAGACATTTAACATCATACCAGATGTACTCTTCTTTGTCGGTGGGCCTCTCTCACTAAGCATGTGTATTCTGAGACTCACGCAGGTCACGGTGTGCGTTCATGCCTTTTTATTGCTGAGTGGTACTCCGTGCTCCGAAGGCACCACAGGGTGTTCCTCCGTTCATCCCTGGAAATATGCCAGGTCGTTTCCAGGTTTTGGTCATCACACATAAGGTTGCTGAAAGCATTGCTGCACAGATCTTTGTAGAGACACATGCCTTCTCTCTTGGGTAGAAATGGCTGGATTTTCTGGTGAGCATAAAGTAAATGTCAAACTGTTTTCCAAAGTGGTTCCACCACGTCATACGCCTACCAGCCACGTGTGGGGGTTGCTGTTATACATCCTCTCCAATCCTCGGCGTTGTTGGCTGTGGGGATTTTCGCCATTATGACAGGCGTGGGGTGGTATCTCATTGTGGTCTAGTTTGCATTTCCCTGATGATGAGTGATGCTGAGCATCTTTTCATGGGGTTGTTTGACGTCCATCATCTTTGGTGAAGTGTCTGTTCAAACCATTGCCTGTTTTTTACTGGGTATCTGTCTTATTGTAGCATTTGGGGAGTGCTTTATGTATACTGAGTACAATTCCCTATAGGTACATGCTCTGTAGACATTTCCTCCTAATTCATCTGTCTTTCCACTGTTGTAACAGTGTCTTTTAAAGAACTAATGTTTTAAATTTTGATAAATTCTAGTTTATCCATTTGTTCTTTATAGATCATACTTCTGATGTTGTATCCAAGAAATCTTAGCCTGATCCAAGGTCACAAAGATTTTCTTCTCCTGTACTTTTTTTTAGACATTTTATGGGTGTTAGATTTTGTATTTCAGTCTCTGGTTTATCTTGAGTTCCTTCTTGTGTATGGTACAAGGTATGGATTGAAGTTTATTTTTCTGCACTGAATCCGTGTGTTGATTTCAGTTTTATTTATTCAAAAGACTGTTCTTTCTCCTTTGAATTGCCTTTGCAAAAATCAGTTGTCATATATGTGTGGGTCCACTTTTGGTTCCATTGATCTATATATAGTCTGTCTTGACGTCCTACCCCACTCTCATGATTATCGTAACTTTATAACAAGTTTTGAAATCAGGTAATGTTAACCCTCCAACTTTGTTCTTGTTTTTCAAAATTGTATTGACTATTCTAGGCCCCTCAAATTTCCTTTTTTTTTTTGGATTTTATTTATCTTTTGACAGAGAGACGGAGCAGAGTGGGAGAGAGAGCATGAGCGGGGGGAGAGGGGCAGAGGGAGGAGAAGCAGGCTGCCTGCTGAGCAGGGAGCCTGATGTGGGGTTCAGTCCCAGGACCCTGGGATCATGACCTGAGCTGAAGCCAGATGCTTAACTGACTGAGCCACCCAGATGCCCAGGCCCCTTAAATTTCCATATGAATTTTGGGATCAGCATGTGAATTGTAGGGGGAAAAAAGCCTACTGGGATTTTGATCAGGACTGCACTGAATCTGTAGATCAACTGAGGCATCATTTATATTTTAATAATACTGAGTCTTCTGCCTCATAAACAAGTTATGCATCTTCATTTATTTAAGACTTCTTTAATTTCTCTCATCAATGATGTGTACTTTTCAGGATATGGGTCTTGCACATCTTTTGTCAAACTTACCCTAAGTATTTTTATTTTTATGCCACTTTAAATGGTATTTTTCCTTCAATTTCTGATTGTTGCTAGTGTATAGAAATTTTTTAAATTTTTTGCATATTGATCTTGTACCCTGCATCTTTACCAAACTTACCTACTAGTTCTAGTAGATTTTTTTGTAGATTTCATCATATTTTCTACAGAGGATCATGTTATTTGTGAACAAAGACTGTTTTCCTTTTTCCTCTCCAATCTGGATGTCTTTTATTCTTTTTTGTTGCCTTGTTCCACTGGCTAGAACCTCCAGTACACTGTTAAATAGAAGTGTTACGAGAGTAGATGTCCTTGTTTTGTTCCTGACAGTAAAGAGAAAGTCATTCCTTGACCATTAATTACGATGTTAGCTGTAGGTTTTTCATAGATTCCTTTTCATCCCTAATCTATCGCCAGTGTGCTGAGGGTTTTTATTGGTTTTTATTAGGAATGGATGTTGAATTTTGTTAAATTCTTTTCCTGTGTCTATTGAAATGATTGGATGCTTTTTGTTTTTTAGCTTGTTAATTTGATGAATTAGATTGGTTGATTTTCGAACTTAATGCAAGTCTATCACTCACTGTTTTTTTTGTTGTTGTTGTTTTTCCTATTTTTCTTTATATCCTTTTCCCCTTTTTTTTGTTTTCTTTTGAATTGAGTTTTTAAAATTATTGTATTTCGTATTATATTCCATTCTTGACTTGTTAGTTATAGCTCTTTGTTTTTTTATGTTGATGGTTGCTTTAGAGCTCATGGGGTTTTTAAGCTGGTTGCAGTCTACCTTCAAATGATGTTAATCCACTTCACATGCAGTATAATCATACTTCAGTTTCTCCCTCCTGGCCTTATATACATATGTTATAAACCTTACAACACAATGTTATTTTTATTTATTTGCTTAGATAGTTGTATTTTAAAGAGATTTAAGTAATAAGAAAAAAATCTCCTATGTTTATCCATATAGCTCCCATTTCTGGTGGTCTCTATTCCTTTTTGTGGATCCATATTTCCATCTGGTGTCATTTCCCTTCTATCCAAAGGACTCCCTTCAGTATTTCTTACAGCACCAATCTACTGGTGATACAGTTTTGCAGTTTTTGTATGTCTGAAAAAGTCATTATTTCAACTTTGTTTTGGAAGACATTTTTGCAGGATGTAGAGGTCTGAGTTGACAGGTGCTTTTTCTTTCAATGCTACAAAGGTTCAGGGCCTTCCTGGCTCCCATGGTTTCCAAGCTTGCTGTCATTCCCTTCTTTGTTCCTCTGTACAAAGTGTGTCCTGTTTTCTGGTTCCTTCTAATATTTTCTTCTGCAGTGTTTAATCTGCCATTAATTTCATCCAGTGTATTTTTTTTTTTTTTACTTCAGACGTTGTAGTTTATATTTCTACAAGTTTAATTTGCACATTTTTTTATATCTTACATGTCTCTACTTAATTTCTGGAACACGTGGAATATAGTTATAATTGTGTTAATGTCCTTGTCTGCTAATTCTAACGTGTGTCAGTTCTGGGTCAGTTTCAAAGGATTGATTTTTCTCCTCATTTCTTGCATGCCTAGTAATCTTTGATTGGATGCTGGACATTGAAATTCTACCTCGTGGGGTGCTGGCTACTTTTATTCCTATAAACATTCTTGAGTTTTGTTCTGGGACATGGTTCAATTACTTGGATACAGTTTGATCCCCTTCTCTTATATCTTACCTCTAAGATTTGCTAGATGGGCCTGAGCCATGGTTAGTCTAGGTCAGATAATCC